GGTTGAAAGCAATCTGCAAGGCTGTGAAATAGGAGCCTTGTTAGCAGGAGCAGCTGACATCAGCCTGGCCAAAAAAAGATTAGCTTGATGGGTGGAACATCAAGTTCTTTGAAAAAAGAGAAAGGGTCGTTTACACCTGTGCCATGAAGAGTTTAGAAGGGCTCAATGAGCCATGGAGTCAAGTGACTCCGTCAGTGCCACCTGACTAGAAATGCTGCTGCCACGGCCAGGCAGTTGGCTTTAAACTTTGGGTGGAGCAGGGATCAAAAAGAGGTGCAAATGCCCCAGCAGACCCTGCCACCTTGAGCTGCCCCTGGGTGCAGCTGGTCTATTTTGAAGATCTTCAACATCTCAACAGGCTTTGGTGATTTCCTTTTTGTCTCTTTCAGCTGTCAGACCATGAAGATCAACCAGAACACCGTGCTGCAAGGGAAGAAGGTGGCACTGGTGCCATATACTGCTGCCCACGTGCCCCGGTATGCAGCCTGCCTACTCTGTCACAGCTGCTTCTCATTTTAAGATTCAGCTTGAAGTAAATGTACCTGTTGTGAAAGGAGCTGGGGACTATTTCAGCAAGGAGGTGGCATGGTAGAATCAGGGCCAGTATGAGCTTTGCTTGGGTTGTACTGAGCCCTCTTGCTTTATCCTGCTATTTAGCAGTCACAGCTAACTGGGAGGACAATTTGGTGTCTTGGTGCCCTCAGCCAAGTCAGTGAGTAAAGAGAGACGGCTAATGCCAGCTCTATTAACACTTCTCCTGAACTCTGGTTATGATATAAAGTATTTGTTCAGTTATAACTGGCCCTGACACACTGGCTGATTTCATACAGACAACCACACATCCATCAGATGCAACTGCTGCTTTCACAATCACTGTTACCCTTCCCCAAAGTGAAACTTTAGCTCCTAAACCTGAGTGGAGTTATTGAAGGAGCTTAAACATTAAGCAGTAAGCACAGTGAAACAATAAATGGTGCAGAGAGACATGAAGTAAAATGTCAAACACCAGAATTAGTCTCTTCATTTGAGTGCAGGAGATTCTATATGGCTTCCTATGTTATTTCAGGAAATTAAGTGAGGGTTACAATCATGTATGCCAATCTGCCATTTCCTGAATAGACTCATTGTAGGGGTGACAGTGACCCTTAAAGGTTCAGCTAAACATAATCAGAGGTGTGCTAAACAGACTTGCATTCTGTCTTTGGTTTCCTTCCTCAGGTACCATGAGTGGATGAAATCGGAGGAGCTCCAGCAGCTGACCGCCTCCGAACCACTGAGCCTAGAACAGGAGTATGAGATGCAGCGCAGCTGGCGGGAGGATGCAGACAGTGAGGAGTTCAAACATTTCTCAGGAGCGGGAGGGAGTTGAGAACTCTTTCCCCTATGTGCTGTTAAGAACAGTAGCTATCTCTTTGTGTTTCTGGCAAGAGAGATGCCACTAGCCTGTGCTGGAAGGGGTGTAAGACACCACAGCAGGGCAGTAGCTCCACTATAGTCCTGCTTCAGGCTAGTGTCCTGTTCAACAGCCTCTTTTTCCTCCTAAGCGCTTTAAAATTCATGCGTAAGCTCAGATTGTCTTGCAGATTATTATGGTTTATGGACACCTAAGGTCTGAGTAGTTACCTGGACCTCTGAAACCCAGGAAATGCACAGTGAAAGCACAGGCCCATTTGATGACTAACAAGAGTTAGAATCAGTCCACCTTAGCTGGGCATAAATAACATGTCTGAGCTGTGGATCATCATGACCAAAGCACCTAGGATTCCCAGTCTTGGATGCCATCATGTTTCTTACTATACAAGTAAGAAGGAATTTACTCCAAAGAACTTACAATCCCAGCACAATACAAGGTGCAAGAAATAGAAACAGCTAGGCAAAAGAGCATGAGCGAACCATGAGACAAGCAGTCAACACACCCACAGCCCAGATGTTGTCAAAGCCCTTATCAGCATCACAGCAAAAAGGGGGTTGGTAGAGGTTCACAGATAGTTTCTCCAAAGTATGACCGGTCACATGGGAGAGAGCAAGAAAGTGTTTGAACGTTTAGCAAGCATTTGATGTGGGCTGTTGGAGGTGGAGTCAACAGTAAGATCCTGAATGGGAGATATCAGGCCATGAGGGGACCTTGAAAGGGAAAACAAATCATTTCTCTTTACAGCAAAGAAAGTGACAAGATCAGAGCTATAGGCTAAAGCAAAGGGTGTTAAAAGTAAGGCTTGTGAGCCAGATCTGGCCAGTGGAAATAAGTTATCCAGTGCGCAGTAGAGGTGTACTGATACATCAGTCCTATCGTATTGGCACTGATGAAAGGAAAATTGACACTTGGCAGTTGGCTTTTTTGGCTGATGCGGCCCATGCATGTGTGTAGCCTTAACCCTCATGGCTCCCTGACATTTGCCTTACGTCTGGGTCTGGATCCAGCCCCCAAGAAACCCCACAGTCTGGATCATACCCAAAGGGCTGGGTGAGTTTGCGCCTGAGCTAGAGAAAAGCTGGCACTGGCATTCTGTGTCGGTCTGAATCCATCTGCCTGGGGGGGCATTTGCACCCAGTCTTTTGAGGGATTGGATGAATGCTGTGACTGTCAGAGCTCTGCTATATCCATTCTTGCTAACAACAGTGATGTAATTTCTTACACTGTTCTCCCCTGCCCAGCAGCTGGGCAGCCAACTCTGATCTGACTTGATCCCCCTAAATGGGTGGGAGAGGGGCTGTATTTCTCTGCTTGAAATGGGACAGCTTTCCAAGTCCCAGGTTTGAGTTTGCTGCCTGAATTGGTTCTATTAAAGGGTGGCAAGTTGCTGGCAGTGAGAAGCAAATTGCTGTAAATGCATAGTGGCAAACCACTGAGGCTGGGACAGACCTGAACTTGTCACTTCTGTCTTGACTGATGTTGAAGGGCCAGGGAGATGCACCAAACGAAGCAGAGGAATGGACTGGGCAGCCTAGCGGGTCTCCTTGGTCTTTGGCCCAAGAAACACTGAGTACAGCACAAGTTTGCTTTAAAATGAGACACAGTGAGGAAAGCTGCATCCAGCTACATTGCCTGTGTGAACCCTTCTGTCCCTGCAAACTGAAGCTAGGGTGGCTTCTCCAGAGTATTTCTAGTAGAGTCGGTGCTGCCATGCATGCCTGCCTGTCCCAGGAAGCCTGGGTACTGGTTTGCCCAGGTTATTAACATGTGCAGGATGTCGTGTTTCTGCCCATTATACATCTTTAATTTCATCCTTCAGTAATTTGCGAATGAACCTCAAACATGCTTGGAGGGTTGTGCTGCTTTCCCATTTTCCCCAGAATGCACGTTCATTGTGCTGGATACAGAGAGGTGGTCCGGACAGGCTGGCATGGATGAGGACTGCATGGTCGGGGACGTGAATCTCTTTCTCACGGACTTTGACGATCGTGCTTTGGGAGAGATTGAAGTCATGATTGCAGGTATGTTCACTCTTCCCTCCGCTGTGTCTAATGCTGTCATCATCCTAGAGCCTGCTCTACACTGCAGTGACTTTTGGTCATGAAATCCCCTTTCATACAGATGGTTTCAAGTAGATTATGATGATCTGTCCCTCCTCACAAACACAAGCAACAGTGGCCTGTGCCAATTGAAGAGCATGAGGAGAATGTATAAGCTTTCTGTGCTGATTGAATTATGCTGATAAAGCTGTCATGATATGCAGACCATTCTCCAATCATCCTGCTTAGAAAGTCTGCAGAAAATCTGCTATAAGAACAAGGCCTGTGCTGTATAGAGTAAGACAAACTTCTATTCCTGTCTCTTTCAGAGCCCTGCTACCGCGGCAGAGGGTTTGGCAAGGAGGCCACTCTGATGATGATGTCCTACGGTATGGAGTGTTAAACCCAGGAGGGTTGTATGTAATACGATAGGAGGGATCGAGAAGCAAATGTTCCCTTACCTTCTTGTCACAGGTGGGAGGGGGTAGTAGGTAGGTCTTGGCCCCCTTTTTAAGGAGTATGGGACTCTTGCATGTGTAGTTCTAGCAGTATGGAGGAGCATGGAGATTCTAACAGTAGGCGTGTTGGTCTTTCTGGCTTTTCCCACAGGAGTGACAAAACTGGGAATCACCAAATTTGAGGCTAAGATTGGCCAGGAAAACAAAGCCAGCATCTGCATGTTCAGGAAGCTTCATTTCAAGGAGGTAACAGCCTGTTTTGTTCTGAGGCAGCTTTTCCCTATGAAGCAGCATTTCTTCTTTGAGTGAGATTGAGTTGGGTTGTGTTCTCCTCCATGCTCCAGGTTGCTGTGAACAGCATCTTTGAGGAGGTGACATTGAGACTGGATGTGAGTGAGCAGGAGAAACACTGGCTCTTGGAGCAGACAGGCCACATGGAGGAGAAAAGCTACAGGGATATGAAGCTGCAGAACCTGGCCTCTGAAAGCTGATGGCTGTCCTGGAAGGAGCAATGCATGCACATGTTAGCTGTCCAAGAAGGAACTGTTTGACAGTGTCACCAAGGGTGTGGATGGCAAGTGTCTGTGCATCGTTAGTGGATCAAACAACAAACTTCAGCTGCTTTGCTGCTGCCCCAGGTACCCAGGGTACCAAAGCATGGCTGACTTTCCACTGCAGCCCCAGTACAGTGCCTGCAGGAGAATTCCTTCAGAGTACAGCCCCAAAACTGGATGAACAGGTGCTAATAGGAAAGCACACAACTACAGCTCAGCTGGGAAGGGTCCTTTTAGCCTCAAAACATCCTCTGTCTCTACTCTCAGGGCCTAAACATTTTATCTCCAAATTAATTACTGGGTGAGCCAGAGTAGTCTACAAATACCACCAGTGTTAGCGGTGGTGTTCAGTATCACAACAGGGTAGTCTGGCCTGCTTTCTCTTGAATAAAATTTGATGAGTATGACATGCCGTAGCTTGACCTGGTCAGGCATGTTGCTCAGCTGCCACCTTTGGTTGTAAAATGATGGTTAGCAGCAGCAGGGAAGGGAATAGGCTGGGGGAGGAGGGATGGGGAAAAGAATTATTTTGAGTACCTCAGGCATTAGTTGGTGGGAGTGTCAGCAGGTCTGTTAGATCAGTACTTAGTACTGTAAATTCTTCAGGTGCCTCATGGCTTGTATGTAAGGCTTCCTCCTTGCCTTTTAGGCTTAATCCTTGGGAACCACCATTTCCAGCTACCTCCCCACCAAGCTGTGGGAATGGGGCTGTAAAGCCAAAGCCCCATTGCTTAGCATGAGCACAGCTTCATGAGAGAGGCTGGTACAACTAAAATATTAAGGGCCCCATCCTGAGGTGCTGAGTCTCCTTCATGGCTGCTGAGGTGAATCTGAGGGTGAAGTTGCACGTCACACTAAGACCATACTAAATCTGTCAAATGTTAAGTGGAGTTAAAGTTAGAACATGCAGTGAGCAGTTACATGTTTAGGGTTGATACCATTTTTTGCCTGCACAGCTCTGACTTAACCACTGTATGTCTAGGGAGCAGGGATGTGGTCAGGACCCAGAATACCTTTACCCTGTACAGTATATTTGCAGTACAGTGCATTGCAGTGCATTTTGGGATGCTGGAGGACTACAGATCACTCATTTTATCTCCATGGAGCTGACTGAAGTTACTGTAATGTGAACTAGGTAGCATGGCCAAGAGTTGGCTCTCGTCTGGACTGGCGTAACTTTGAGACATTTAAGGCTCTTATACACATGCACGGAGCCTGCTTCAGTGCACTGGAAATCAAGCGCATTGAAGCAGACTTGATTAATCAATGCTTCTGTTTTAAGTGCCCTTAGTATAACCTTAATGTGCAGCTTCACCCTGAGGTGTGGGGACCTGCTAAAGGATGCCTGGTTGACTTCCCTATTGCCAGCAGTGTTAAAGAAGAATGCTTCTAAAAGGTTGGGAAAGCAGGCACTAAATTACCACAGGTAAGAGGTGGGGCAAATTACAGAACATAAAACCGGAGATGCCAAGCTACTTATGTCACTAGAGGATGATTTTTGGAGGGGAGAATTATCTGTCCCAGAACTACTCAGTACAAGTATTGGAAAGGAGGTACGTGGTTGTGATAGAGATTCCCACAATAAGTTGAATGAGGAAATTCAGTTGCAACAAGGGTATAAAGGATAAGGTAGCCAAGACACTATAATGCTTGTTTGAAAATCAGTGTTACCACATGATAAGGGCACAAGGGCTGTTTGCATTACAGTAGCCTTATTAGGTAATTCCTTTAATGACCAGAAATGTTTAATTTCTGCTGTGGTGTTGGATAATAGGTTTCCAGTTTGAATGGGGATATATTTAATCAGTAATTGGTACCCTGCAGAATGTTTAATGCTGCTATTTGTGTGTGTGGGTCCTGGGGATTTTCATTCTGATTCAAGTTCATTTAAATGCATTATTTCTATGACTAATATTAAAAGCAAGTGCCATAGTAGCGTATTGTGGTCTTTTAATCAGCCAGGAGGTATTTAGGGTGGATTTGCTTTAAGCAAAAGCCTTGCAGAGTAATAAAGTGAAGAGCAGCTCTCCTTAGAGCTGGGATTAAAGTTCCAGGGGCTATTAATCCTCCTGCTCTTGATCACCAGCTGGGATCAGGAATAAATGTCCCCCTGGTACAGTATTTGCACAATTGGCCAGGTGCATTACGGGTTTTTCTCTACTTCCATTTGATGTAGGATTGTGCTAAAGGGAAAACTTGGGATTGAGTGTGCCTTTGGAGATAATCTTTGCCATGTCTCTGATATCTGCATTTAGGGCTTTTAGAAATCCCTGCAAAGAATTTTTTTGAAGAGAAAAAGCATCACTACTTACAGCGTGGAAATAAGGACACTTATGCTACAGTGAAGTCACAGCTGCCTTCTGAGGCTGGGAAGTAAAACATCTTCCTTTTGGCTTCCACAGGATTCAGACATGTATTACAAGGAAACATTTCTTCTCTTCCTAAAATGGGGTCTTAATTTTGTTGCAGTCAGCGAGAAGCAAAAAGAACAGAACTGCAAAGCTCGAACCTGAAAATGAGCTAAAAAAGGAGTTTATTTTCAAACTTGTAATATAAAATAGGCTGGTTTTGATTTTTCCCAATTTCCTGAAAATAGATCTGGGTGGGGCTGAGGTCCATCTTGTATGGGCCAAAGTCCTGGTTTTATTAGACAGCATTGGTATTTACCACCAGGAGACGGCAGACGCTTGTGTTTCCTACAGTATGTGAACTGTGACAACAGAACAGCACCTTGGCTCAGCTCAGTCTTTGAATGAGCTGTGGTGTATGTGCTCTGCAGTGGCCATGCCTCATTGCCTGGTCCAGAAACCAAAGCAGACCCAGAGAGAGGGTGGGGAGAACACAAGACAAATGGACACAGGTCATAAAGGGAGAAGTGCTTTGAAATCAATGTGGGATGTTCCATACACAAAACACAGTTGCAGGGAACAGTTGGTGTCGGTGCCCAGTAATTTCTTTCCTATATAATCAAGTCTGTTAATTAATTACACTCTACTTAAGTTTACATAAAAAACAAGCTAGCTGCTGTTAGTAATGCGGATCAACACATTTTTCTATGTTGCTTCATACCATGAACCATCTTTCATCACTTTGTCCCACCCCAGATTTCTTCAAGGCTGCAATATGAATGTGCTGAAAGAAAAGTGCCTAAAAGTGCTGAGGAACCCAAGGACAAACCCCAGCCACGGAGATCCAGCAACTCTAACACTGATCAGCAACACCATGGGGAGGACTTCCTTGATGGGACATAGCTTCAGCAGCCTTTCAAGGAGTCTGTTTCTGTGACTGCAGGTGGAGGGGAATCAGCGGTGCAAATGCCTCCATTTAGTCCACAACTGCTGCAGAAGGCTAGCACGGCCTGGGTTAGTCGCTACCAGTGAGGTAGCCAGTGTAACAACTGTACAGGGGTTCAGCTCTGCCCTGGCCAACAGCATCACAAGACTAAAGGAAAAGGCAGAGAGGTTGGGAACAATGGCACCATAGGGCTGAAGGCCTGGGCTATGCTAAGAATCTGTGAAATACATTTTGCAAACAGAAGGCTTCAGCTTCCAAGTCTGAGGCAGAGGAGATAGGAAGTGGGAGCCCGTATCTGTCTTACTAGGTATCCCCTGGGCCTTCCGTCTGCCATGCTCTTCTCTTCAGAGGGATCTGCCTAGGGGGAATGTCATGGCATAGACACCCCTGCCCTTCTTCACTCTTGGGCTGCCATTTGAACAAAGGGCCTGGTGCATGAAGAGGCCTTTGACTGGGGTCAGTTGATACTGGAGCATCCCCCAGCCAGGACTTGGGCCCAGCCCCTTGGTGAGGCATGGCCTCTGCTGGAGGCTGCAGACATGGCTTGTACCCATCAGCAGCATTGCAGGTGGAGATCTTGGTCCTGTGAACCCTCAGTCTGGCTAGGGCAGACTCTGAGAAGGTGCTGCAAGCACTTGGTATCTCTAGCTGCTTACCTGGGGCCAGCAACACCTTCTCCGCTTGTCCCTTCTTCTCGACAATTCTCTTCTGAGCCTGTTCCAGACCACTCTCCAGCTGGCACACATCCTCCATTACCCTAATGACCCGGTCAAACTGGTCCAGCAGGTTGTTCAGGGCAGAGGGAAGGCGCTCCAGATAAAACTCCACCTTGTAGGGCTCAGGGGCAGGGCTCTCAGGAAGGGCCAGCTCCTCCGAACTGAGGGAGCCGGAGGAGACGGTAGAGCTGGCACAGCGAATGACCGTGCCAGCCGAGGGGAGTCGGGAGCGTTTGGAGTTCCCAGAGGAGTGGGAGAGCAGGGAATCCATCCCTTCAAATTTCACTTTGTGGCGGAACTGAAAGACAAAAGGAGTGGGAACGTGGATGATCATACAGGGCCTCCCATCACCAATGACATGGGAGCTACAGTGGCTATGTCCCCTGTTCCTGAAGGTTACTTACAGGCTTTTTGATCCCACTGTACATTTTGTCAATAGTTATGATAGGGTTAATACAGAATCAACCAAAATCGTAGAAATCATTAAAGAAGGCTGGAAGGGACCTCCAGAAGTCATCTAATCGAACTCCCTGCCTGAAGCAGGATCATCCTTATTCAAACCACCCCATACTAATCCATAATTTAACCTCTGTGTAAAACTACCCTCAACCCTGACACAACACAAGACATGACACCCAAGCCTGCCACAGGTAAAAGCAGGGAACCACAGCAGCCAACATCCTGCTTCTGTAAAAGTTTGTTGATATTTGCTCAAGAGGTCCCAGGTAGAGGGCTACCCCCCGTGCTTCAGAGGAAGGCAAAACCCCCCACAGTCCATACCAATCTGATCACAGATTGGTAAAATTCCTGCCTGACCCTAAATCTGGCGATCAGTCTGACCCTGAGGAGAGGGACAAAACCCCGTAGCCAGGAACCTCTGGCTTTGGTCCCAGCAAGAGCATTGGCACAGCCCAGTCAAAGTCCCCAGTTTTGACTGTAGCCAACATCCAATATCTTTGAGGAAGGCTTACCCCCCCCCCCCAAAAAAAAAACCCAAACCAAAACAAAACAAAAAACAAACCCAAAAGAACAACACACTTGTCATGTAGCAGAAAAGCAGGGGCAAAATTCCCTCCCAGCCTCATGTAGCAACCAGCAAGCCCAGAAGCCTGGGAAATCTCCATAGTAGAACATAGACACAGCTACACCTGGATCATCCCCGACCAGTGGCTGCCAG